AATTCAGTCACTTTTAAAATAAATCAGATTTTTCACAGTGTTGCAAAACATCTGCAGACCTGCACAACTGGAGTACACACACCTTTTTGTGTGTATGCAATTGTTGTGGTTCATGTAAGAATGTGTTCAGAAAATTTCTGTCTCTTGGCAGTAGCTTACCCTGCTTGTGCATTGACCTAGATCATTCAGAAGTCTCATCATCTCAGTGGGGTTACCACAGTCCCGATGCTGGTATCTCCTGGATGGGGATGAAGCTGCCCAGAGCAGCATGGAAGGCACCAGAGTACAGCAGTGCGCAGGTTGCAGGCGGCAGATCTGGGCTCAGTACCATGAACTCTCTAGGACAAGTGGTAGCTTCATATTCCAGTCTAATGTGTTGAATCAAACTCCAGTTTTGTGCTCTTTTGCAGGGATTACCATACCTCATGTGCTTGCAATGCAGAGATTTACTGTTACCATCACTCATCTCCATCACCAGAGTTAGCTATGAGCCTCATTAAGTGCAACCCTCCAGCCCCAAAACAGCACTGTACTTGAGCTTGGACGGGTACATTCAACAACGTGCAAGGCCCACATAGTGGAGTGAACTAAGGGACTGGATGTATCAACCATACATCCATATGTATATCAATCAAGGTATCCATATGATGGAGGACAGGAGTCTTAAGACATTCGTGTGCAGCATGACTGTGAGTTATCTAACTCAGTGAGGGTGATCCAGGATCTTAAAATACTTATTGCTATTGTAATGGCAGAAAACGGAGTAAAAGGTTCCTAATGCAAATTGGTTATAATAGACACAACCAGATTTGAGCTAAAAGCTAGCAGTTTATCCCACAAATATTAAAGGGAATAGTCTGGATTCAAGTGGGTTTCTATTTGTCTGTTTTTCTCCTCCTTGCCTGCTCCAGATGCTTTCAGAGCTGACAAACTTCAGCTTGTTGTCCTTGTGGAGCAAGGAATCAGTAGACTATAAGGGCTAGACTGCTTGCCAGGTTTTGCACGTATGTGTCTCCACTGAAGTTAGCCTAAAGGATATCCCAAGTAAAAAAAGCATCATGCATCTCTCCAGTGCAAATTCAGGAGCCTTGCTTGACAAGGATACACAGCTGACCTTTCTGACTGCAATTCCCTCAACTCAGACAGGGTTCAAAATATTATATCCAAACCTGGATTCAAATGCTGCAGACCATTCATACATCCATATATCTGTGTAAGAAGCTGAACTTCAACTGTGCATGTTCCTCCATGTCAATATATTCACTTTTGACCTGAGATCTCAGTTCCGTGTCATGAGCTCACCTCTGATCCTAGCCTGCAGTGAAAAACAGAGATTCCTTACAGAAAATTGAACCTCCCCCAGAAGGACACCAAACATTCAAAATCCAGATGTAATAATGTGGATGGGTTGGTTGAACTAAAAAAGCCATGTACTGGAGGGGACCCCATCTCTGGGGTTTGATTTTGCCAGCCCACACTCAGAACTATATTCTGTGTAAGTAAAATAAAAACACAATTTCTATAGCTCAGGGCTCACCTAGAGGAATTTTGTCTTCTCAGAAGTGAAGTCCCAAACCTCTCACCAAGGACAGGCTTTCTCTTAAAACTGATCTGTAAAACTTGTTTTATTCTGCTTTCTCTATTCAAAGTTTTCTATACTTTTGATAAGTATTCCCCTAATTTCTGAGAATTACCGTAAAGCTAATACAGCAGTGAAGTGCTCACAAATGGGTCAAAGAGTGGTGTGTCAGTTGTGCATCCACTTATCAGGAGGACCAAAATCTGTGGGGAGAAGACAGCTCACATTTCTTACTTCAAAGGCTCCATATCAGTCTACATTTGGCGCACAGCACAAAGCCGTTTGTTTGACCTACAGCTCTGGCTAAACACCATGATAAATAAAAAGGAACATGATTAGATATAAAAATATCTGGGTCACTTTTGCCAGCAAAAACAGATTTGATCTCTTCCAGAGACATATTTTTCTGTAAATCAGGACAATGGGATGTTCCTTACTTTTTCTCTTGGAGCTCATGGGACACCACAGAGGATGCAGGTTCCACCAACTCTAACTGGCATTGTTGTTCTAAAGATCATTTCCTCTTTGAAAGTCCAACGGAAGTCTTATTAAAGAAGTGAAATTTTATCTTCAGATATCAGTCCAGTAGCAAAGTCCAGGTCAGCATCTTATGGTGACCCAGAATAGGTTCTTCCTAGGTTTTATGTATGCAGCTGAAAACTATGAAACAAACAGGCAGGCCAAATAGGAAGAGGTGGTGCTTTAACTGGAAAAGTTACAGGCATTTTGCTTATTTGGCTTGCACTGATAGATTTGTGTCTGGAAGTCTCAAAGATGCTTTAACCACAACACCAGCTTGGTCTTAACAGTGACCGCTCTTTTTGCTGGCATCTTTTGAGAACCTCTATTTTAAAGCTCACATATCATTTCAGCAAACATCAGAAGATATTTGCTGAAAATACAGATACAGTTTTGCTCTTGTAACTCTAAACAATCTGGAAGCTTCTTGACGTACTGCATGTGGTGTGAGATTTTCTGTAACAAGTTGGAACTTTGATGGGAGTCTTATCTCACCAGGCAGGAACAGCATGAGCGGTACCCTGCAGCATCTCACAGCTGATACAAATCTAAGGAATTGTAAGAACATGGTTTCTGAAGACCCAGACTCATGGACGCACACTACCCAGAGATATAGCCTGGCTGCTGGCACAGAGCCGCCTCTAGATATGCCATCCCAGGAGGTCTGCATTTGCAGGACTGCATGCAGTGCTCTATCCTAGTATCTGTGGGCTGCGTTCTGGTAACAGGAACACTATGGACTTGAGCAGTTTGAATGAAAACATTGATTTGCTGACTTTTTTTCGGGAAAGCAACTGAAAGAGTAGATGTTCAAGCATACTGAGGTGTGTAATACCTTTCAAAATCAGTGGGAGCTAGGAACCAAAATAGCTATGAGAAGCTGAGTGGTTTGGTCACTGAATGACTCTCTGATGGGACAAGAAGCTGAAACTACGTCTCCCCGGCTGTGGCTGTCTCTGTTGAGCCACTGACTGCTAATACCTTTTGACGTAGAAACTGATGTATGAATGCCATCCGCCACAGAACACGCATCAAAACACTAATTCTTATACAAAACCCTAGCTTACACCGAACATTCATGCTATGTGCACGATGAAAGTCTGCTTTGGAGTCCTCACAAATCTGACAGTGTCCTAGAACTGCACCTGCTCTTTTAAGCAAGGACCCCTATCATTAATTCACAGATGAGCAGAATTTTTAAGTGGTCATTAATATCATATCACAAGTGGCTGAAGCTCACATAATGAGATGAGTGAGGACCAAAGGCTCATCTGAACAGTCTTGGACTTTGTGGAACTGGAGATCAAATGCTGTCTCAGGAATCATTAATAATGGATTGAAACCAACTACCCCATGTAACTGGAAGAATTCAGGAGCTTATAGTCATCTTTGCAACAGAATATTATTCTGATTCATATCACTCTATCTGAGCTCTTCCTGGGTTAACTGGAACCCCAAAACAATGTTCCTGGTAAATTTTAGAGCACCTTCAACTCTTATCAGGGAAATACATGAAATGTGTGCGCAGAACCGGGATCAAAATTCAGAGCCTGCACAGCATCACAGTAAGACCTAGGCAGAAAACAGTAATTCCATTATGAAATCTAGTTGCCTTACACCCTGGACTAAAACATTTCCTCTTACTCTTGCAAAGGGAATAGACTCTCAGGCAGGTGGCTGGGAAGAGGGAGGAAGGAGCCCAGGGACAGTCTGCACAGTTCCTGGGCTACTGAGGAGTTGTGAGATGGGTCTGTCAAAACCTCATCCAAACCTAGAACTTTTGACAAGCTGGTGAACTCCTTGTTTTGCTGCTGTTTCTTTAGCTAGCTGTCACGGTGACAGATTCTGTTTACAGACAGGGCGCTAATGAAATACTCTTGTATTCTGGACAGCACTCTCCCTCTGCCCCTACCACTGGCTGCTGCAAGAGGTTTGACAGGAGCTCCTGAGTACACATATGGAAAAGTTCAGAGACAGACTAACCCAGAGGTTAGCCCATGGACATCAAAACAGTGTCCCTCCTCAGGGCTTGCTCTAATTCAGAAATCAGGATAGCAGCACCTGCAGCAGATAAACACACATGTGGGCCTGGGTCACTTGAGTTAATGAATAATAACTTGCTGACACGGTAACACATGAGCATCCCTCCAGCTAGATGATAAGCTGTAGGGAATCAGTCACTGAACTTCAGGTTTGGTGCATACATAGTCTATGTATGAGGTATTCATTAAAATGGGGCTTGAATTTAGGAGACTGCAATGCACTGGAGAAACTCCTGTGGAAGGGCAGCTGCAGCTGTACAAGCTTGCTGGGAGTACTGCAGTGTATAGAGGACAGCATAGGAATAACTCTGCTGGTTATGTTAATGCTCACAGAGAGATGCTTGTACACGTGGGGTTACTCTGGAGGCAGCCGAGCCTAGGCTGGTATCATTTACAGATGGAGCCAGGCAGAAGGAGGCGTGATTTACACTGGCTGAGACGCACTTACCCTTTCCTCTGAATCCAGCTGAGCACATTGAGGGCAGCCAGGACTCACAGCGCAGAAAACGGAATCAATATTTTAACTCTTTGCAAGCTGGTCAGCATTTGAGCTTGGCCACCCAAAAGGCTGGCGCCGAGGGCCAGATAACCGTACGACTTGGCACTTCATGTTTCCTCGCCGACGGTGACACGCACGTTGCGTCTTTGCTCTTGCGCTCTGCCCACACGCAGCTAAGGAGGGAGCAAGCCGTAGGCTCAGCTCACCCATACCGGGTGCCGTTTTCTGCAGCGACCACACAGTGTCCCCACAGCGCTGTACTTCCAGCTCTCCACCTACCAGCAGAAACGCGTCCAAATGGTAGCTCGTCTGCATGCCCATAAGTATACCCCCCTCCAGCGCCGCTCAAACCCGTACTTACATGGTTAGAGTTGGCAGGAAAATGATTCTGACCTTCAGTTGCGACCGGTCCACTCAGTTCAGGCCTGGTGAGGCGAGTACAGAGTCATAAAAAAACCCCAACAAAATCCAACAAAAAAACCCCTCCAACAACATGTAAAGGTCAAAATTCAAGGTCTGCTGCTCATTGCTAAGAAATAACACCAGAAACCTCCCTCTTTTGCATAATACGTTTCATGCTGAGACCTGAAACATACTGAAAACAAAGGTAAGCCGTGTTAGCACCATTTCACAAATGGACAAGCAAGCCAATTGACAGGTCCTCACAAAGGTACATAGCACACCTGAACCTGATTAAGCTCATGTCTATTGAGGCTCACCCTACCGGACCACACTCCCAAACCCATGCAATAAGTGATAATGTGGGGTTTTGTTTCCCTCTGCCCTTAATATCTCCCTGTCCAAGGGATGGAGGTAAAGCGGTTCCCACCTTGCCATCAAGCTGGTTCAGCTGCCCCTGCAGGGTGGGAGCAAGCAACCGCCCTGACCTCCCTTGGGCATGCAGACCTGAGACCACCCAGCACATACAGAAGCTGGTGTTTCAGAAGCACCCAGCCCACTTCAGCAACGTTTAGGACACCTCCATATCTGTGTGACTGCAACAGATATGCTGCGCATGGCAGCAACACTGCTGGAACACCAACATGTATCCAGAAGTGCAGAGCAATGTGGGCCATGATACTTTACCTCCCTTCTTTATCCGTTCAAACACAGCTTGTCTCTTCAAAAGCTAGGCACTGCAGGTAGGACACAGGGTCCTCTCAATTACATCTCTGCATCACCTCACACCTGAGGATGGGGCCCTGGGGCCCTATAAGGCCCATGTAGCCCTCACTTAAATGGGGAGGAGAGGTATGGGGCAAAGAAATACAATGTAGGGCTATGATTCCATAGAGCAGAGTTGCAGTAGCCATGGGATACAAAGGGATCTCTGGCCAGACTGGTCACTGAGGGAAATGCAAGTTGGAGGGCAGTGCCAGGCAGAGGGGAAAAAGTTACAGGATGCTTTCAAGACCAAGAGCAGGAGCAACCATCTTGAGATGGAGAAAGATACTTCTTTGCGTATGAAAATTTTCAGGAAGCCCACAGACAGGAAAGCTGATAAGAGAAAGATAACTCCTCACCCACCAGTAGGTTGCAGCAGATTCGAAGGAAAGCTGTCATCAGAGAGGATGGCAGTGACATGTGACAGTGGGCCTTGTCTTGCTACGGATGCATCACCAGCCTGGCAGCAATAGTCACTCTTTGGCTAGGGTCATTGCTTACTGGCAGCAAGCTGTCTGCCCCTAGGGCTAGACCACCAGCCCTACCTCATCTAGGTACCCATGTCATGCCTCCATCTATCAGGGTCACACCACCAGCCACCATCAGTCAGTCCATTTAGCATCAAGGACCCTTCTGCTAAGGAGTCACCAAATGATGCTACCATTTTTGTTGCTCCATATTAACTTGCTGAGAATTCTTCTATTCCTCAGGATGACCCGCAAAAATACCACCATGAGCAGCAAAAGAAGGGAACCAGTGAGTCTGGTTTTGAGCAATATAACTTCATGTTGGTGATTCATGGTGGAGGAACACAAGCGAGAGCTTTGGGACACAGCCTTGTGGCCCTAGCTGCACAAGTGAAAAGCCAGAGGAAAAGCACTAGGGATCAGATCTGAAAACCAAATGTTCACTCCCTCCTTTACCACATAGGCTTAAAGACACAGCAATACATGGACTTCTGCCCTGCATCTGCCATCCTAGTGAAAAAGATTGTCATATTCAGGAAAATCATAGCTGCCCTAACCTCCCTCACCCAGTGCAGGCAAGTTGCCCCACACAGTTTCGTTACTGACGGCACAGTCTAATTGCTGTGGGCAGTACATGTGGATCCAGGCCTGAACTGTGGAGAAACCCTGCATCCTACCCTTCCCAGCAGAACAACAGGTGAAAGTTTGACTGCCAGAAAGTCCATTGGAGGCCACGGAGTAAATTAGGGGGAGCAAGCGGACCTGAGGGCAAGTGGTACCTCATGCAGGAACAGTGACCTTGCAGAGCTGGAGGACAACTATCACAGAAAATGCCTGCCAGAAATTGCTTAGTTGCACTGAGAGTTCTCCTGGTAGAAGGCCTCTACAAAATCCAATGGGATTGTTTCATTCAGGTCACCCGTTCGCCTACAGATCAGATCAGATCTGCTTTGATCAGATCAGTCCAACAATGTCCTCCTTGAGGGCCCCTGTCTGCGGCTGCAGGAAGTCAGTCAGGCAAAGTGGTAGGAAGCTCAACCCTATGTCCTCAACATCAAGGCTGAGCCCATAAACTAGAGGCAATCAGGCCAACAGGGTCAGAGAGTTCCTTGAAGTGGGGCCAGCGGGGTAACTGAGAGCCCTGGGGCTCTTTTTCAGCTCTGTTTTTCCTCAGTCCGCTTGGTTTTTATTGTCTTTAGGGAGAGATGCCTCATGCACCTTCTTTTACAGGCTGTGATACCACAGACTTTAGCAAGCAGAAGAGCAAATAGCTCTTAGCCCAGAGTTGCTGCCATGAATAGCTGGCAGAGAGATCTGAGGTCTGACTTACTTATAGTTTGTTTAAGAAGAAAACCAGGCCAGCATGTGGCTTGTGATAATGCTCCCAGCCTTCCTCCCAGTATCGTGACCCATCTCTTCTGGGTACAGTGAATATGAATGACTCCAGGATTGCACATTGCCCCAGTGATCAATGAGAAGCTTTCTTCTCTGCGTGGTACCTCATGTGAGCTGCTTTCATTCCTTCCCTTCCGATTAAGCAAGGCCTGCAGGGTGCATGCAGGGCAGGGGGATCTCTATGGCAAACCCATTGCTGCTATTGGTCCTCTCTGCACCTTCTGCCTCCATGTACCAAGCCTGCAAGTAGTACTTGCAGCTGGAGTTTCTCACAGTGGGAGAAGTGGGACCAAGTGAGTTGGTCCCCAGAGTAAGGGGCGGCATAGGGAAGAGAGGGCTGACCAGCTTGCATATCTTTCCTGGGGCTGCGCTCCCTTCATGGAGCCAGTGGTCCCAGACATACAATATAATGGGAGCTGGCTTTCAGGAATTTATTGCCAGAAGCTTCTCTGTGTGAGGCTGATGCAGATTGCTGTCCCTTGACCACAGGAAAAGGCTTCACACTTGTCAACCAGAAAGGATTTTTACAACGCATGCCTTCCTCTGGACAAATTGACCTGTAGGATGGTCCTTCCCTGGCCCTTGGTGTTTTACCTCACAGACAGAGCACCCTCCCCACCATGTCCCATCCCTGTCTAAGGTTGAGCAGCACCAACTGCTCACCTCTAGGACAGGCTGGTGTGGAAGGTGTCCCAGGTCTTGCACCCAGCTTATCTCCCAGGCAGCTTTCAGGCACCCAAAGATACACTTGGCAGGAGCTAAGGATGTGGCTGAACTCCCCATGGTCATTTGGGTGGAGGCTGCAGAGGGTCACACAGCACTGATAAAGATGAAGGTGAAGATCATGACATCGTGGAGACTGGTATCTTGTGTCAACAGTTGAGAGTGTGGGTGGTGGGCAGGGAACTTCCAGGAAGCACTAGAACAACATGCACAGTCAAAGCTTCTGATTGGAGTGCTCAAGGGCCACATAGAGTGACCAAGAGAGGCACAGGTACAATCAAACCTTTTGTGACTGCATATTCAGGGGACACTGTAAGACATCACACATCCTGCCTATGAGCTCAAAAAGGGGGAAGATGCTCTGCTATGTCCTATACAGCAGGAACAGAAGAGTAATACACCCAGCGTATGGCCGTGTTGACCTCCACAGTGATACTCGCCACACTGCAGTAATCTGCTGTGCCACACACATATCAGACAGCAGGCCTGCTCTGCAATGTGGTCATGGGATCACAGGATAATTCAGGTCAGAGATGACTTCAGGAGGTCATCTAGTCTAGCCTCGCACACAAGCATGGTTAGCTAAAAGGATATGCATGAGGCAGGTAAGTTGAGACTGAGAGGGGCTTGACTGGGTATTAAGGGTGTTAAGGGCGGCTTGACTGAAATGCTGCAGAGATTTATGGGAGAAATGCCATACACTATGGAAGTCATACAAAGAGACAGATAGGGTGCTCTAGTTTCTTTACTGGAGCATCTAAAGAGCAATGCAGATACAGCCAGGGGCAATGATAACAGCCAAGAATGAAGATTTGTTCACTCACTGCTGTTGCTCTGGAATTACTGCAGTAATTCCTAGGGTGCAGTGTTATCAGCACTGTTCTCAGACTAAAGCCAAAACACAGCACTGCACCAGCTACTAGGAAGAAAATTAGCTGTTACGGCTGAAATCAGGACACTTACTGAAAGCATTTGTCTTCATGGCTGCAGGGACATTCCTCTCTCCAGTCTCACCATGCACATGCCTAGTGTCAAGGCTCTTGCCAGACCTCCTAGCTGCGACTTTTTAGCACTTCCACTGATGAAATAAGCTACTAATTTCTGACCAACTGCTTATGACTGTTCATTGATGTAGGTGACCTAAAAGTGTCTTCCTAGATGTAGAAGCATGATGTTTAATTTTAAAGCTTCAAACCTTCTCCATGCATGTCTGACTTCCCAAAATGATGTCAAAACCTGCACCTTTATCTCACCTACAGCTTGCAATTGCTCTTGATCCTGAGCAAACCTAGCTTCCTTGGCCTCCCACGTAGTCTCTCTGCCAGTGAGATCTCTGTGAATGCAGCTTGCACTTTCAACAACGATGGTGATCTTTCTGGCTTTTTTGACTTGCACATTGTGCACACATAGCCTCTTCACAGCTTCTAGTTCAGGTGTTATTTCTTAGATTTCCTAATGTGTTAGCTAAGAAGTTGCTCTCATGGAAACATCGATTTCTTTCCTTTTTTTTTTAATGGCTTGGTGTTAAACTAAGACAACTTCTTCATGCAGGTAATAATCCAACAACCAGCTGTAGTCACAAGATAGTTACCTCTATAGCCATATTTCATGTAGGATCCAGAAGCTACTACAGCTCCAAGCCCTTCACAGAGATCAGGTAGACGTTTTAAGCAGGA